GATATCATAAACACTCATTGCATTTTCACTCAATTAACTCATAATCTGCTTCAGCGACTGTACGACTAATTCAGAGACTGAAAACACAACTTGAGCCAGTAAGTGTATATTACAGCATGTTAACTGCTCAAGCAGAAGCCTGCATTTGTTATGGCATCCAAAATACCATATTAGAGAGTTAAAAAAACTTGATCATCTTTACAGAAAATTTGAACAAAACAAAACGTTGCATGGTCACTTTTCCCAGCTGACAGGGAATGTTCCCACAATGTTTTATAAAGGTTATGTAAATGTTAGAACAAAACATTCTTTAACAAATGTTTTAGGAATATTCTTAGGAAATGATATACATTCTAGTAATGCTGAGAGAAAACTTTCCTAACAACGTTCATGGAACTTCTAATGATGCCATTTCTACTTGATGAATGTTCACATTAAAACCCTCTGGTGCTCCTCATTTGGGAGTCACACTTGTGATCTTCACGGTCAAAAGTAACCGGACACCTGAAATTTCACTTTTTTTCGCCCCAGTAAAATCAATGTAATATATTTTTGTTCAATAATATTTTTTATTTTGAGATAATTTCATGGCACTAATTAATATTTATGCATTAATAATTATGATGAACTACTGCCCATTGAAAAAAAAAATATATATATATATATATTTTTATATTACCTTTCAATGAATGCAGTATTTCATGTTAAAATAGAGTCAATGCCTTTAAAATCCCATTTTTGAAGCCAGATTAGTAACATCTGGTGGGAGTAAAATAAGAAAAACATCTGCAATTCCATGGTTTAGCCCATAGATTCCTATATAGCTCTATATAAAAGGCCTATAAATTCTCTAATTGTTTTTAGAAATAAATACTTATATATATATTTATAAATATTTAGACATTCTCAAAGACAACGTTTTGTAAAGGTTTAGATTTTTTTTTTTTTTTATGTTGATTTGAAGCGTCAGTTTTTGAATTATTATTACTACAGTCAAACCTGAACACAGAGAAAGCATTTTGTTACACAAAACATTAAAATTATATAAAATGTAACAAAAATTAACAGAAATGTTTCATCAGAGCTTAATCCTTCTGGGTTTGATCTGATTTCAACCTCTTATTTCAGTTTTCTGACTCATTTTGGCTATATGTTAATAGCCATACCAATTCATTTGAGTGTGTATAATTGTGTATGTTTGTGTGTGTGTCAGTGAGTGTGTGTGTTTGAGTGAGTGTCTGTTTTGCCCTCTTGATGTTTTAGAGTGTAACCCCTTCCTTGCCGTCCATTTTTTTTACTGCATTGTAGTTGAATTATTGCTTTTATTTTACATATTTGCTGTGTTACAGTTCTCAGAATTTTTGTGTTTTTGTCGATTTCCCATTCATTTCCAATGGTCGGTCATTTTTGACCGAAGACCACAAGTGTGACTGCTCGAATCATGCCCTCAATTTTTTTGTGTGTTCACATACCAAATGCCATAAAAGTCACCAAGTTTCGTACCATTCCGATTAAGATGTGATTTTTAAAAATTCAAAACAAAAACTTTTTTGGTCAAAAGTGACCGAAGAGCACCAGAGGTTTAAGATAAACTGTTCTTAGAACGTCATTCTCAGAACATCCTTATGATGTTATTATTTGCTTAACATTTCATAATGTTATAAGATGTGAGAACAAAATGTATGGAACGTCCTTATGACGTTATTTGTACTTGAATGTTCTCATAATTTTGAAAGAAAACGTTCTTAAAATAACATTTTCAGAACATACTTATAATTTTATTCGTACTTGCTGAATGTTTTTGTTATTGTAACCTTTAAATAACATTCTAATAACGATAATAAACTAGACTTTTTATCGGTTTTAGAATATCACAAATAAACATTCAGAGAAGGTTATTTTGAGTACAAATAAGGTTTGCAGAATGTTGTACTAACATTATTGTAACATTTAAAAAAAATTCTAATAACGACAAGAACATTTTAACATTTTATACTGTTACAAATAAACATTCAGAGTAAGATATATTGTCAGTAAATATACAGTTAGGAGAATGTTGTACTAATGTTATTGAAACTTTTAAATAACATTGACAAAAAGACTTGACATGTTAATGTTTTTAGAATGTTACAAATAAATGATCAGAGAAAATTATATTTTGAGTACAAAAAGGATTAGGAGAATGTTGAACTAAGGTTACTGTAACCTTTAAATAATGTTCTAATCGTAACAAGGAAACTGGACATTTTAACAACATATAAACATTTCAAATTAATGTTCACACAATGTTTTTAGAACTTATTTTTTGTTATCTGGGTACATGCGTGTTATTCAGATGATCGATCTCTTCCCAGCTAACAGAGAATGTTCTCAGAACGTTCTGGCAAGGTTCTCTCAAAGTTATGAACAAACGTTCCAGTAATGTTAATAGAACGTTTGTTCAAAATGATCATAATGTTCTCAAAACATTAGCACAAAAACATTATTTATGTCACGAATCCTGTCCATGGACTTCCGTTCGATCACCACCAGAGGTCACCATTCCATTACATTGACGCACTACACAAACTGTTGTATGTCATCCCGGACTACATATCCCATCATCCATTGCACTAATTGCACACAGCTGTAACCAATCACACATTCACTATATAACACTCACTCAGATCCCTTTCAAACTGCCGAGTATTGTTTAGCGCTTATTGCTCATCGTGTGATAGCTACTTTACGGAGCTTAGGCTTAGTTCCTAGTTCTAGTCTTAGTCTAGTCTCGCCGTGTTTTCGGATTTCCTGGTACCTGATTTTTGCCTGTTTATCTTGCGTTAACCCTTTGCCTGCTGTTTCGGACTGTGTTTGTACCTCGCCTGGACTCTAGCTCGTGTTATTGGATAACCCATCGTGTCAAGCCCTCTGGATATTGTTAGCCGCTGATCGACCACGCCCGTTTTAGATTACTCTTCTGTCTTGCCCTCAATATTCCTGTTTGCCATTGTCTGACCCATGCCTGTTTTATGACCACGTCTCTGTCTTCTATTAAAGCTTTGCAAATGGATCCGCAAGTCTCATGTCTCGTTCGCCCCGTAACAATTTATCAATTGTTCATGGAATGTTTTTTCAGAAACGTTTCAAGTTGGATGTTCAGCTAACATTTTTTAAATGTTACAACTTGTTTCAGAATGTTCAGAGAACATTTAAAAGTAACATTCCCATAATGTTTGCACAATGATGGAATGTTCACATAACCAATGAAAAATGTTTTTAAAACTGGACGTTTTGAACATTCCGTAACATTTTCAGAACGTAATGGCAACGTTAGCAAAACATTCTTAGAAAATGCTTTTGTTAGCCGGCTTCTCAATGTGAAGCAGAAAGAAAGCCGGTTTGAGTGTCAGATTGATGAAACTCTTACAGCACTGCATGTGTGATTTCCTTTGTGGAGAGACGTTTCATTGTTTCATTCGGATCATTTGGATCAGTGTGTTTTATGTGAAGAGGTCGGCAGACATTTGAACCCGGGTGAATGATGAAACCACCCGCAATCAGACACTTTTAAAGAAGCAATAGTCCTGATCGTGATTAGATGGTCATTGTTGTAGTCAGAGCAGTTGAGAATGAAACATATTACCGTTCGGTGCCAGCGATACTCTTGACTGTTAATTTCCTGCAATGCTAATTGAATTCAGAATGTGGAATACAAAGGATATAAACAAACAACGATGATATGGTTCACAATTACCAACAGCTTGTGTTTTTGGATCGAATCTGTTAGTGTGAAAATGAGTCAGGAAAGTGTTGCACAATAATATTAATTAATGCGGTAATGCACTTATAAGTCTGCGATCTGCCTTAAAGCAAGAAGAAGAAGAAGACGCGTCAGGCGCCGGCTGTCGAGGACGCGCTCAGGACAGACAGTTCGGACATTGCAGTGAATCAGAGGTAAAAAAAAACGCATAAAGCATAATGTTCTGGGTTTACAGTTATGAACAGCATCTCTGACATGCTGTTGATTCCCACAGATAATCATTTCAAATCATTTCCCAGTCTGAGAAACAAACCAAAATCATGTTTGCAGTAATGCACTTACAAAAATAGACAGAAGAATATGAGGAAAGACACTGCAATATGATAAAATACACATAAAAAATTTACATTATATCAAGGAATAGTTCACCCAAAAATGAAAATCTGCTGAAAACGCACTCACTCTCAGGCCATCCAAGATGTAGATGAGTTTGTTTCTTCATCAGATTTGTAGAAATGTAGCACTGCATCAGTGTCTCAGCAATGGATGCTCTGCAGTGAATGGGTGCCGTCAGAATGAGAGTCCAAACAGCTGATAAAAACATCACAATAATCCACAAGTAATCCACACCACTCCAGTTCATCAGTTAACATCCTCAGAAGACAAAAGCTGAAACAAATCCATCATTACGATTGCTTCTGTAATGAACCCTGAACAGTCCTTTCATTTCCAAAGCTAAGAAACATCACAAACATTTCCACAATGTTTATGCTCTGAACGGAGGAAGAAAGAACACTTGGAAGAAAATAAAGCCAATAAAATGTCACTATGGCTAATAAAATGGATTTTATATCAATTCAACACATTTACATGCTTTTTTGCATGATCTTCAAAACAGTGTTATTTCAAAAGTCTCTCAGATACATAATTTAGATTTTGCTGTTTGTATTTTACTGCTATATTCAAAGTCAACATTTACAATCCATTTTACAAAATGTATTTCCATATCTAAGCAAATATACAAAAAAAAAAAAAAGAATAGATGGTTAAAAGTTGGCATTTCATACCAGAATAGCAATTAATGGTTAAAAACGGGAAAAAGAAAATTGTTTGTCAAGTTATTATATTTTTAAAAAAAGACAAACATTTATTCTTCATACAATATGTACTGATGAATCATTCACAATAAGATTAGATGCATGTTTTAAAAACATTAAATAGTTAATTTTAATTTCATGTTGACTTAAAAGTAGCTGGGCTTGTAAAATAAGAATCAGTTTCTCTCTTTGCTGACAAATCACAGAATATCTGTGCGCTCATACACAATATTTATAAAACGTTCAATATTCATAAAACAAATAAATACCAAGCAGATTTCACTAAAAACAAGTTCTATGTATATAGTGCACATACAGAGCATTAGTGCGTGTGAAAGTGTGTTCTCACTGCAGCGAGCCGTCGCTCAGCGCTCTGTTGGGTCCTCTCTGCCGTCTTCATGCTGGGACTCTCTCTGGCCTGTAATGACAGTGAAGCACATTAGCACAGAATCACATCACCGGCCTCCAGAGGTAATGCTATTCAGAGAGCCGGGTTAAAAAAAAGCCCTGGATTTCATAAATCCTATTTATTGAATAACATCTCAACATGAGAACTAACTTTCTTGCAGGGAGGATATTGCAGGCTCACAAACTACATTTTGAAGTCAGTCACATTGTGTGTTTTAGCCGCTGTTCTGTGTGAGAGCCGTCAGTGGAAATGCGATGTGACGTACAGCGTTTCCTCATGATTGTAACAGATGAAGTGGCTGGAAAATCAGCTAATTTATGCGCTGCATTTAAATCAACAGCAAGTGAAACAATCCTCCAGCGGACAAAAACAGTTAGGATTCACAACATCAGTCTTGAGTTGTGAACATTTGCCATAAGCTCAGATGTGAAACATATTGCAAATATTAGTTTCTGTCATTATTTACACTCTTGTGCAGTCCCTGCAGTTTTCCGTTATTACTGTAAGTGATTGTGGAAGCTTGTTTATGCCACAGGATAAAAAAAAAAAGTTAATTACAACATTTTATTGTACAATTCTGAGTTTATATCTCATAATTCAGACTTTTTTCTTCACAATTCTGAGAAATTGTGAGATATAAGCTCATAATTCTGAGAAAAACACTTTTTTTTAATTCCATGCCGCAAACAAGAAAAAACAGAACTGCAAGATATAAGCTCAGAATTCTGAGAAAAAAAACAGAGAAAGTCAGAATTCTGAATTTATATCTCACAATTCTGAAAAAACTCAAAATTTGTAAAATAAGTCACATTTACTTTATTTTTGAATTACATGGCAGAAACAGGCTTCCATATGGAACACAAGGCAAAATGTTTTTTTTTTTTGCAATCCTGCATAATTCGCCATTTAAGCGGAAAAGTGCAGTGCAACAAAGTTCAACATACTCAATTAAAAAGACGTGCATGTCAAAATATCACCATCTTGGCAACTGGTCACATACAGTAAACACAACCAATTAGGAACGATTTACAAACGTAAACTGTTAGAAAATCTGACGTTTATCAGTGTATTGGATCTGTGAGTTAGGTCTTAAAGTGACAGCAGACAATAAAAAGAGAAAATCACTCACTGCTCCTGACTTAGCAACTTTAGTAGCTCAGTGTATATAATTTATACAGTTTATACTGTGCAGTGTTGTGGAAGCCCATTTCTGCCAATAATAAAAAATAAATAAATTTAAAAAAGGTAATTTCAAATTTTTTTCTTAAAAAAAAACTAAACAAAACATAACTGAGAGCTATAAGCTTGCAATTCTGAGAAGTCAGAATTATGAGATAAAACACTGTAATTACCTTCATTTTTTTTGTACAATGCAAACTCAGAATTGAGAGAAAGTCTAAATTATGAATTGCAATTCCATTTTTTAAAATTCTGAGTTTACATCACACAATTTTTTTGTATCTTGCAATTCTCAGAATTTTCTTAGAATTCCAAGAAAAACAGTCAGAATTGTGAAATTAAAAATTAACTTTATTTTTTATTCCTGGGCAGAAAAAGCATCCATACTGTGTTTTATTTTACATTTGATTATTCAATTTCTGTAGTGTTTTATACCTGAATACTAAACCTACCTTTAAAAAAAACTCTATTTCATTTGTATCTTTGCCCTGTTGTTTGTAATTTGCTTATTTGTTCTTATTTTAACAACAAAAACGTCTAGTTTAAAGTTGTGTCAGAATTTGATAAGACACAAATACAAGCTTTCTGCCATTTTTCCCCCATATGTAACTATTGTACATTTGGTGTCATACATAATATGGTAAATGTCATGTCCTATTTATAAAAATAAATTCTGGAAATGACTGCCACAATATCAGTCATTCAGATGACAGAAGTCCTGCTGGGGCTGCCTGTTGTGCCAAACCTTTGGGACTTTCTTCAGTGAATCCCAAATAGAGAAATATTTTAGATTATTTTTTGGAGTTTGACAGAACAGAGTGAACACTCTTAAATAATTCACACAGAAGAAAGAAAGTCAAATGGGTTAGGAATGACATGGCAGTGAGTAACTGAGGAGAAAAGTTTCACTTTTGTGCTACAAGAAGCACAAAATCCGTACTCAATAAATTTTTTACACAGCTGTTTATAGTATGTACACGCATTGACATCTCCAGATGATTGCAAGCTTCCTGACAGGCAAAATAAACAGAGAACCCATGAGGAAGGACTCGGTTTGCTCGGCCCGCGTCTGTCTGATCAGTAGTCTGTGAAGGTTTGAAGGAGGAGCAGTAATTCACAGCCTTGATGGACTGGACTTCCATACGGGGAGGAATGAAAGAATCATGGGAAATGGGAGGCGTTGTAAAATTGATTTGTGAGAAGAAAGTCCTACCTTGGCATTGTGATTTTGCATAGCACGAGTTCAACAGCTGAATAAAAGAGCAAAATAAAATCCATGGTGAGTGATGATCAAATCCACATGACAGGTTCATGCATCATCAAACGGGTCGTTTCTGCTGTGCACTAGATTTTCATGCCACACCATCATATATCTTTAAAAATATTTTAAAAACAGAACTTTATTAGTCATTTATTAGAATGTAATTCATTCAGAAATATTCTTTGTCTTTGTATTTTTTTCCTTCCAAAAATTTCATATTGTTTTAAATTATAATCAATTTATATGGTTTTCCTGTGTCCCAATGTTACTTTAGTACCATTGATATACCATTACATTATACTATTTGTAAATATTTTGAATTAGATTTTATTTTTATATTTTCTGTTGTCACTTTAATTTTAGTTAAAGGTTTAGTAATTTTGTTGTGTGTTTTTGTCATTTTTATTTTTCAGATGTCATTTTTTTTTTTTTTTTTTTTTTTTTTTAATTCTTTTTTTTTTTTTTTTTTTTTTTTTTTTTTTTTTTTTTCAAATACAGTTTTTGTTTTTACGTAGTTTTCATTTTAATTAATTTAGTTTTAGTTAGTTTAGTACTTCAAGTTAACCTTAATGAAAATGAGAAATGCAGCTGAAAAAAGTTTGTTATATTTAATTTCAGTTAACCTTTATTTTATTTTACAAGTAACCATTTGGTTTTAGTTTTAGATAACTCTAATAATTTAGGCTGGTTACAAAAAGACAATTTTACACAATATTTTGGTGTTAAAATACTTTTGTATTACTATTTTATGCTAATTGTAGCATTTCATAATTACTTTTTATGATCTTAGTTGTAGTTAATAACCCTGCTGTGTCCTCAATATCGCTTTTCAATGTTATTCTTTAAAAAAATTCCGTAATGACATCATCTTCCAGGAAGTGACATCATTTTGGTAGGAAATAACATTATCAGTGGATTTGATGAATTCAGTGATGTTGGTTTGTGCCTCTCTAAAACATTCATCCTTTTTGATCAAATCAAAATTTCAGTATATTAAAATATGAAAAATCACTTCAAGTAGACATCCTCATGTTAGCTAAATGTCAATCTAAATGAGCACTGACTAGCTTCAGCTCTTTATGAACATCTTATGTCTGCCCAGAGCATATTTCTGAACATCTTCTATACCTTTTTGTAGAAATACATCCTTAATTACATTCATCATGTAGAGGTTAGAGAGTTCAAAGCAGAAAGGACCCAAACATTAAGGTACGGGTGGTGAAATACCTCCTCATTGTGTTTCTCCAGCCTCTCCAGTTGTTCTCGCTGAGCTGCCTGGAGTTGCTCGCTCTCCTTGGACTGTTTCATGGCGAGCTGTCAATCAACGCCCATGTTAATTTACATAATTAGAAACATGCATTTGAAAAAACAACAACAACAAAACAAAGGATTAGAATCATTACCCTCTTTCTTTCTGTAAGAAACTTCCTTGTGTTCGTGCTGTTAAGCTCTCGAACTCTCCTGCAGAAACACATCCCGTTAGAAACAGTATTAGTGGAGTCCGATTATTGCTTATAACTTTTGACCAGTAGGTGACACGGAGTTAAAATTTTGTGCACATCATAAGGGGATGATGACAATGAAATCTGCCAAGTTTCATTGCAATATACCAAAGTGTTCCCAAAACACACCCTTAGTTCCTCTTTGGCGTTATCAATTTATTGGTGGGGTTAAATTCAAATTATGTTTGTGAGGGTTTGTCAGATGATGATGAATGATATGAGGCAATTTATGGGTGGAATAATAAAAAAATGGTCCATGAAGAGGTACAAAATAGTGGAAAAGCATTTGGTTAACCTAGAAAATCAGTCCTCTACAAATACCCATTAATACATAGAAGAATCATGAGTTAAATCCAAGGTAATAATAATTTTTTTGTGAGGTTTTGACCAGTAGGTGGTGCTGGCTTGAAATTTTGTGCACATCATAAGTGGATGATGACAATGATAATTCCTAAGTTTCATTACAATATACCAAAGTGTTCCCAAAACACATCAACAGTTCCTCTTTGGCGTTCTCGTCAATTTATTGTTGCGTTAAAATCAAAGAGTTCTGAAAATCAAATTATGTTTGTGAAGGTTTGTCTGATGATACAATTTATAGGAAAAGTAATGAAAAAATGGTCCATGAAGAGGTTAAAAATAGTGGAAAAACATCTGGTTGACCTAGAAAATTGGTTTCTACAAACACCCATTAATAAATAGACAGAAGAATAATCCTTTTTGTGAGGCTTTGACCAATAGGTGGCTCTGGCTTGAAATTTTGTGCACATCATAAATGAATAGTGACAGTGATAATTCCTAAGTTTTATTACAATATACCAAAGCGTTTCCAAAACACACCCTTAGTTCTGCTTTGGTGCCCTCAACACTGTATTAGTGTTAAAAAAATATGTTTGTGAAGGTTTGTCTTATGATGGATAATATGAGGAAATATATAGGAGAAGTAATGAAACAATGGTACATGAAGAGGTTCAAAATAGTTTCTACAAACACCCATTAATACATAGAAGAATCATGAGTTAAATCCAAAGTAATAATAATTTTCATGAGGTTTTGACCAGTAGGTGGCGCTGGCTTGAAATTTTATGCACATCATAAGGGGATGATGACAATGATAATTCCTAGGTTTCATTACTATATACCAAAGCGTTCCCAAAACACACCCTCAGTTCTGCTTTGGTGTTCTCAACAATTTATTGTGTTAAAATCTAGCCTGAAACTTGGTATTATGAGCACTTCCTGTGTCTGGTTGCCTCTAAGACGAATCACTTGATGTATTCCCCAATTGTAAGTCGCTTTGGATAAAAGTGTAAATCAAAAAGTTATGAAAATCAAATTATGCTTGTGAAGGTTGGTCTGATGATGGTTAATATGAGGTAATGTATTGTACAAGTAATGAAAAAATGGTCTGTGTAAAGACTAGAGATGATAAACAATTAAAGTTAAATCTTCTGTTAAATCTGAAATAATTTTTTTGTAAGTGTTTTTTTTTTAACCAAAGTGCACTCTTTATTGTGGCCCTGCTGCATATGTTCAACATCAAAATATGCAATCATTTTGGAGATGGGTTTTAATTTCTCAGGGTCAGATGCAATGACACAGTTTGGTAAGATGAGTTAAAAAAAAAAAAAACTTGTTTTAACAATATTGTAAATGGTGGAAACTCCAGTGCACTGAGTTCACCTATACAATCGGAGAATAACAGATAAATGGAATGGATCACTGATAGATGGTGCCTGGCCCTAAAAAAGCACAAATTATATGGATGAAATTGCACAAGATGGTTCTGTCTGGACATTAAATTTCAATAGTTATGCCTCAAAATACAAGAAAAGCACAGAGGAAAGTGGAACCTACAAAGTAACGCTGGCTGCATGAGCTTTAAAGTGAACTGCTGCCGAGCTTTTATTATTACCGTTCCCTCTCAGCCTTGTTCTTTATGCTTTTGTCTTGACTGATGGCTTTGCTGCTCTCCATCGAGGTCTTCGCTTGGTTGGTTCGCATCTCTTTATTCTGTCTGTAAGAGAAGGAAATACTTCAATTTGGTTTTTATAATAAACACTGATTTGCTCTATTATTTCAATAAAGTAGGTCTGTATTTATATGTATACTCTGTGCAACTGTAGAAATGTCAACTACTAGAGATGTTTTATATTTTATATATATATATATATATAATAGTTTGACTGTTTTAAGCATTATGTTATGAACTGAAGATACTGAAAAAAAACAAAAAAAACACAAATGTCAGGGCATTCCAATACTTCTCCAGGGTGCTAAAACCAGGGTTACCAGGGTTATTATTATTAACAAACAAAACAAATAAACAAATAATAATACATTTAAAAATAATAATTAAAAATCATTACTTGAAATAAAACCAACATTAACTAAATTAAAATAAAACGTAAAAAAATAAACTTATTTAGCTAGTTTCCAAGCTGAAGTACAGAAATAACTAAAAGTAAATAAACTAAAACTAAAACTTAATAAAAATTATACAGACACATTTAAAAATACAAAAAGTAATAAACATGTCAAAAACACAAACAACAAAATGATTAAAACTTTAACTAAAAATTAAAATGAAAACAGAAAATATAAAAAATAAACGAATCTAAAATATTAAAAACTATCATAGGATATCAATTATGCTAAAATCAGGTCCATTAAATATTAACAAATACAACTTCTGATTTTAATTATGTATTAGTAAAAAATTAGTAATTGATTTTAATTATATTTTTTTATTCATATAAAATGACTCATACAATGAGCAATAATATCTTGATTGTACTGCGCAACAAGAGCAGACAGTATATGCGCCGCTTAAAGTGAAATTGCAATAATAAACGCTTGATAAAGTTAATGTAAAATATTCAATAAGAACAGAGAACATAACACATACACACACGCTTCAAAAACCCATGTGAAACACACAAGGGAGAATTCAGTCAGAATGAATGGCGCTGTTTAGCACTGCATTGTCTCAGGACCTGATTCACTAAAGCGATTATGCAAATCAGGTAATCCCATAAACACGCCCACAAAATCAGCACTGATCACGATTGACATGGAGCGATTCTCCAGTCAACAGGCCGGATCTGAGCGGAGAACTACTGTCATCTGACCGCGTCACTAGGACTGTAAATGTGCGCTTCACTACACATCTGGAAATGTGCCCGGATACATCCGTCATGTGATGAATCACTGCTGACATGATCAATAGGAAATGTACACAGACGTTAATTGCAATTACCAGGCACACAGAGATGCCTCTGTGAATCCAGCACTCACTATTTACATTGAAAGGAGGCGCGTTTGCCAGGAAAATAATGACACTGATTTCATTTTAATGCACATGACACAATCCTATAGCAGTGTATCTAATGCCTAGTTAAATTATATTGCAGGTGGCTTTTGAAGACGCAGGGCTTTGTGCTTAAAGCTGCAGTCCGTAAGTTTTGCCTCTTTGTCCCCATCTCTGTTTGAAACCTGCAATTGCAGTTATTTGCGGATTTATTTTCCTAACGGCTCCAGCGCGGATGAGTCTAATGTTTTGAGGAGTAACTTATGTGTGGTTCTCAGTCACCGTCTTGGAAGTATGACCCAAATAAGAATTTTCACCGGATATTGTCATCTGACCGAGTAAGTAACAAGTCTGACACTTTTGTTCTGACCAACTGAGGAAAAAAGCATTACAATAAATCGCGCTACAATGGTGATTAAATCTAACGATCGGATATCTCATATCACATCAAACTGTGCAAATTATTATTATTGTTATACTTTGTTCTCAAATTGTTAATGTTAACATCAGCATTGCGTGAATTTGTGTATATAGTGTGTATTAGTGTGTAGATTTCAATTTCTGTACAGTCTAATCTCTAATTGTCATACCATTCGAATTTCATATAAAGAAATTATTTTAACCCAAAAAGCAAATTTTCTTCCTTAGAACTGGTTCTGTTTAAAATACAAATCTTGTGTAATTCTATGTAGGCTGTCTGTAATCAGATGCACGTATACAACTGGAATATAATCTAATTTCAGTCACTTGTGTTTCATAAACACATAAACCTTTTTGGATTACAATCCGCCATCAAAATAAGTTTCATTATTGCAGCTGCTGTGAGAAAAAGCTATAAACGATCCGCCACCTGCAGATATAGCCTACTAGCCGGGACTGCTTCTTTATGTTTACAGACTAGGGCTGTGACGATAAATCGATGCAGAATCGATTCGTGAATGGATTCTGAGATCTTCCGAATGCATCGCGATTCTCTCTGGAATCGATTCTGAGCTTAGATTTTAACAGCAGATGGCGCTCTACTCTAGTTTTTATCCGCACACTAAAATGCTCATGAAGAAGAGCGCTGAAAAGCGCTTGTGCGTTCGGCTGAGTCTGTAATTTCACCTCGGCTCAGAATGCTTTTATGACACGAGATTAATGTAAACAGCCCACTGTGTACACCCTTGTAATCGCTTCAACCTTTTCGAATTTTATGAATGATTATTTTAGGTTCAAGTGTGTGTAAGGATTTGGAAACAAGCAGAGTACGGCTGTTTCTAAAGCATGCAGCGCCATCTACTGTTCAAAACTAAGCTCAGAATCGACTCGAGAAAGA